CGATCAGCAGGAGGCCGAGGGCTAGGCCGCGCATGCTCATGCTGCTGCCGCACGGTGTTGCGGGTGTCGGCTGCGGTTCGACTCGCTAGGCTCAGCGGCCGGGCTACCGCTTCACTTCCCTGGGCCCAGTTTTAGGACCCGGTGCGGGACGAGAGCAGAGCAGGCGCGGGGGGCGGGCAGGCTGCGCGCGCAGGTCAGGAAGGACGAAGGCGTCGTCAGCCCCTCCCCTTTCAGGGCGGTGCCACTACCCGAGAGCCCAGGGCTCCGGCCCCGGGAGGGCTGGGTAATGGGCGGGCCTAGCCGGTCCTGGGCGGGGCCTAGCCGGGTCAGGGGCGGGGCCAGGCCAGACCAGTGCGTCGCAGGCTGCCGAACTGTGCTGTGTTCTTCTGCTCTGCGGCTCTGGGTCTTGTGGCCTTGGGTTCGGGTCTCCCAGACCTGGATAGTCAAACTTTTGGAATCCAGCCTGGGATGGTGTTTCTGGAGTTTTGCCGACAGTATCTGGTTTTGACACTTTAACTTAATTGTCCTTTTTGTCTCTTGGGTTGGAGAGGGTGGGCGAGGTTTTAGCTAATGGAAATATGGCACTTGGAGACCCGTTTTCCCGTTAAGACCCCATTCCTCAGCTGAATGTTGTATTTACTTCTGTCCTGATAAGTACTCTGAACAATTTCTCTTCCCAAACCCAGTCATCCCAAAGGAATCCACGCCTGGGCTCCAAGGAAAGCTTGCGGCGGTGACGCGCAGTGGCCTGACGGTGTCGTGATCCGTGAGCGCGAGGGGGCGGAGCGCGGAGGTGGGTGTGCCCCTGGCCACCCTATCTTTGTTTACCGTCAACGCGGTCTCTGACCTAAAAAGTGGCGTAATCACTCCACCTGCCGGCTGAGCTGAGCATAGAGTGGTGAGCCTGTGGACGTGAGAAAACCCGAAGTTTGGAAACCAGAGTCATGTTTAAGTTCTGGGCTAAGTGAAGCAATACAAAGATAATGGAGAAGCATTTTCGTGATTTTATTACGCGTATTTATAATGCTTCTGAAGCCAGAGGAATGTAGACCAGTAGCGGAACAATGTCTAAGTCAAAGAAATACAGATCACCAACCACATATTTCAAAATAACTTGATTTCTCAACTTGCATTTCTAGTTTATATGAAGGGTTCGTGTGATCCTAGTAATATCTCATAAATTTATCTTTTCCTATATACTGCCTTTCATTCCTGAACTCGTCTGGTTCTAGAAAGCTTTGCATCTTTTTCTGCTCTCAGCTTGCCTCCTGTAAGTACATCACGACTGTATTAAATCTATTGAACGTTTCCCTGTGGAGCAAGAGAGGAAGGCTGACCTAGAACAAAGGTCTCTTTAACGGGCAGATGGAGGGGAGAAATCTGGAAATATTCATATGAATAATTTTTGACCCATTGCACAATTAATTTAATCAATCTCTTGTTGGACATTTAATTTGTGTCTTTTCATTGAAAACAATGATGCAGTGAACATCCTTGTACTTAAATATTTGTGATTATTAACAAATAAAACTATTGGGAAAAATTTTATATTGTTGGATGAAAGAAAATATGTCTGCATGTGGAGGGGAGACAGCCTGTGGCATGGTTATTAAGGCACCTATATCTCACATGGCCGACTAAATGGATGGAGTCCTGGAGGTGTTTGACAAACATTCTGGGCGAGTGTGTGCATGGTCGCAATCCTGAAAAGAGGGAGAGATGGAAAAAGATTGTGATAGGACCATTCCCCATGGGGGGAAGGTGCTTTCTCACTTCCCCTCTCTTCTCTAGCAAGTGTATAACCTTCTGACAAAGTTTTTTTTAAAAAAGAAGAAAGGAAACATACATTAAATTTTTAAATTTTTTTAAAGGACTAAAGCAAGAAATCTCCCCCTAGGGGGAATGGCCACACCGCAATCCCTTCTCCATTCTCCTTTCGGGATTTTGAGTATGCATGCACACGTGCCGGCATGTTTAAAGCCTCTGGGTCTGGGAGTCCAGTGATGTAGCCGTTTCACCATCTGCTGGTCCCAATGTTTAAATCTTTATTATTGTCAAATTACCTTCCAAAGAGTTTAGAGTTTACACCTTTGCCAACATATGGAAGTGCCTAATCCCTCATCATCTTGCCAACATTTATTCTTACCATTTGTATAGGTGGTGCTTTAATTTGTATTTCTTTAATTGTAAGTTAGATTTAAAAAATCTGTTCATACGTCTGTAAGTTATTTGGTTTCTTTTTCTGTACTCTTATTAAATATTGATTTGTTAAAAACTCTTTATTGAAAAATCAATCTGTTGATCTAGTGTATGTGTTTTAGACACTTCTACTAATTTACTAGTTTTCAGTGCTATAAAAAAGTTATCTCAGACAAGGCAGTGGTGAAGTGGTAGCATAGCTGAATCCACATGGGAAAAGTCCTGGGTTCACGTCCCAGGACCTCCCTGAGCAGGCTGGGTGGGGTTGTGTGGGTGAGTGCCCATGACGTGGGAGACTGGGAGTGGATCATGGAATGAAGACCCTGTTGGAGATCCCTGGCTCTCTCCTGGAAGAAATAAATAAACTTTAAAAATTAAAAATAATTATTTCATGTTTTCCTCTAAAATTTTAATGATTACCTGGAAACTATGATCCACCTGGAATTATTTTGCTATAAATAACATAAGGATCCAGCTTCTCTTCTTGGTCTAAAGCCTAATCATATGGATGCCTGCTCTTCTTCTTAAGGTCATTATTAAATGTTGGTGTCGCCAAACCCAATGACAATTCCTTTGCTCTCATCTCACTTTGCATCTTAGTAGCATTCAATGTTGTTGATCACATCATCTTCTGTAAAGTGTATTTTTCATTAAATCTCACTCTCCTAGGTTACTTCACTGGCCTAAGTATCAACTGTATTTTGTTTTCTAGACTAGGGAGATGATTTGAACAGTATAGTCATGTTTAAAAAAATTATTAAAACAAAATAACTGTGATTTCTCCCAAAGTAGAGAGATCTTTTTCCCTTGCTGCTAATTTGCAAACTTCAAAGTAGGTAGTGATTCAAGTGGGTAAAGGGAAAATAATGCCTAACTACTGTATAGATTGCAAGCTTGCCTAGTTTCTAACTTAAGTCTGAAGTTCAATATTAGAAAATGAAGACAGAGCTGGGTATTTGAGTAATACGATGGAACTGACTGCATCTGGTGACTTCTGAGGACATTACTCATGGATCCAGCTTTTTATTTTGGTTATTTTTTATGTTTCCCTCTTGTCTTCTACAATAAAATAGCATAGAGTAGGTAGCATAAATAATATGAATTTATTTCTCACAGTTCTAGTAGCTGGGAAGTCTCTAGATCAACATCAGGAACCACTTTGGTTCTCTTTTTTGGCTTGCAAATCGCCACCTTCTCCGTGTCCTCAGATGGCCTTTCCTTGGTGTATGCTCTTGGTATCTGCTCTTCTCTTTCCACCAATCTTATTGGATTAAGGTCTGACCCTCGTGACCTCACTTGGCTTTAATTACCTTCTAAAAGCCTTATCTCCAAAGACAGTCACATTGAGAGTTAGGGCTTCAATATATGCATTTGGGTGGGGGACATATTTCAGCCCAGAGTGCCCCTGCTTTCTCTCACGGCTGCCTTATAACTTCTGTGGATTTTAGGCATTTTTGCCTTTGAGTTTTTTTCCCACCTTCAAAAACAACATTTTGGGTTGGCATTGTGGCTCAGTGGAATTAAGAATCTGGATCCTACATGTTTTTCTTTCTTTTTTTTTGGAGAGCTTTTTTTGCTATAGGGCGCGTGCACTCGCCAGACAGAGAGAGACATAAGAGACAGAAAGCGAGAAATCACCCCCCAGGGGGGATGGTCACACCACAATCCCTTCTCCTCCATTCTCCTCTCGGGATCTTGGGCACGCACACACACGCGCCCGGCGTGAGTTTGAAGTCACTGGGTCCTGGATGCGAACCGCGGTCGACTACGTGGGAGTCCAGCGACATAGCCATTGTGCTAACTGCTGGTTTCCTGGATCCTACATGTTTTAACAATATTCATATCCATGGTTCAAATCCTGGGCCAGCGAGCCTGGAACACGCTGGGCACTTGTGTGAGTGAGAATCCACAATTCAACAGGCTAGAGGACTGGAGGAAGGGGATCGTGGCATGACCAGACCCTGTGGAATGCTTCCTCCCCAATTCTCTCTCACTCTCATTTGTGCATGTACGTGCTCTATTATGAATAAAGAAAAAAAATTTTCATCAATACGAAGACAAATGCAATCCCTGCTGAATTCATCATTACATATTCATCATTATTGTATTTTTACTTTTCTTCTGATTTTAAAAGAAAGTAAAATAAAAACATTTTCAAGAAACCTTCAAAATAGTGTGGGCCCTAATGGACAAGTTAGCCCTGTTTTGGCTGCTAATGCCATAGAACTCCCCGCAGTATTCATAGGTATTATAAATTTTGCTGAGAGTCCGCCCCCACCCTTCCACCCCCGCCCCAAGAAGCTCTAGGACCAGCAGCTAGAGCTGACTCTGAAAGAACCCCCAAGATGGTCCAGTAGGTAACCAACTCACATATCTCTTCCTCTGTCAGTCTACAAAATTGCATTTTGATAAAATATAGGAGACATTGAATTACTGCTTCTACCAAACCCCTAGAGAGGCTCAGGTTGAGAATTTTTGAGACCCTCTTAAGGTAATAGAGTCTTTCCATTTTTTTCCTTTTTACTTTTAATTAAAATATAAGGAGTATAACGCTTACATGTACAGCTTGATGAGTTTTTACATATTATTTGCTTATATTTGCTATCTGTTCATGTATAACAGATTCCCCAAATCTTAGTGGATTGAGAAAACAAACATTTATTATATCTCACTTTCTGCCATTCAGGGATCTGGGTGGAGCTGGTGGTTCTGGCTCAGAGTCTCTCATGAAGTTGTGGTCAAGATGTTGGCCCGGGCTACCCCCAACTGAAAGCCTGTCTGGAGCTGGAAAATGTGCTTCCAAGACGCTGTTGGCAGGAGGCCTCAGTTCTTCTCCATGTGAACATCTCCTTAGGCTGTTTAAGAGACTTTGAGAATTAACAGCAGACTTCTTCCAGAATGGGTATTCTGAGAGAGCACAGGCACATTTCTTTTATGATTTAGCTTCAAAAGTGGTATGCCCTCACTTCTGCCATATTTTGC